GGAGCAGGATCTGCTTACCCTTCCGGAGCACCTGAGATCACCCCCAGTTTTTGGTGGGGTTCGTGTTGCTTAGTCTTTAGTTTTCTATGTTGTGTCATCTGTACTATTATTTGTCTGTTTGTCTTTTTATTTTTGGCCATGACGTTGTCAGTTTGTTTTCGATCTATGAGTTTGACTGTCCCTCTGGTATCTTTCGTCCCTCTTTTATTCAATGTGTCTTTAAGTTTTGAATGAGAAATATTTGTGTAAAAGGTACAGAAGTCAAATATTTTGATACTTTTGAACGGGGAAGTAGACTTACAAATTATAGGTTGTACATATATGTACTCACTCAATTTTTAGTATTGACATCTGATTTACACCACCTCTGCAGTTTATGAAAACTGTCTGCAACAACAACGTCAAAAACTCGATAACATTCTGAATTTTAGAAAAATTGTAAGAAAATCCATAGAATCCTTTAAGTGCAATTAATTGTTCCTTTTTAAAACATTTAAATTAAACAAAATTTCACCAGCTTTAGGAATCATAATTCGGAGAGTAAATACATTTCAGTAGAAATTGGTCCTAAATCATATGCCTGTTTTAATTTTGCTTTTTACACATGATAGGATCGACAAAACTGAATTTATTTTGAAAGTAAAATTTAAAAAGACAGACATTTGGTGCTTATATAGCCAATACAGTGTGCAACATGCATAAAATAAATAAGAAAAAAGACAAACAAAAAAATCTTTAAAAAACATGTATTTAAATATAAAGTTACATACAAAATATAAGTTCATATTATTATAAGCAGCTATAATAAATGAGGGTCTAAACGGATGATGGGGTTTACAGAAAAGAGAATATAGGACGAAAGTACAGACATATGGGTAAAAAAAAGAATAGAGAAAAATACGTAAAAAAAAACCAAATAATAGAGAATAATGTGGTGTTCAATATAAGAAGGCAACATCCACTTTATTTGAACTTTGGTGGATAGTTGTCTCATTGGCAATCATACCAAATCTCCTTATCTTTATAAAGAATGTAAAGAATACAGTAAAATGGCTTATAAAATAAAAAAAATACAGAATTATGGGACCCCCAATCCAGAAACTCATAAATCATAAACTGCTTACGTCGTTTTGTATTCGTTATATTGAAAGTGCAAATCAAGATAATGGTTGATTAACTGATTGCTGCTGCTTCACGTCCAGTGTGCAATGTTTTAATGCATTTTCAGGACGAAAACACATTTACAAATAATACAACTATAAAAAGGTTTTCCAGACTTGGGTCTACCAGCATGAAGGTTTGAACATTTGAAAGTGAGGAGTAGTGTTATTTTTCTAGTTCCCTTGAAGCGGGAAAATAGTTGAAGCAGCTTTTTTTTTTACACGAGACAACTATTTCTGGATGGATCATATTGCTTTCCTAACTGTCATGTCGATTTCCCGTTGTTGAATTCGGATTCACAATTAACAACGAACGTCCCATTACCGTGTTTCTGTGTCTCCGACATTAATATATACTTTATAGCTTACATTATATACTATGCACGTCGTCAGATTTCGTGTAAACAATGCTTTGTTTGTCAATAAAGATGCTTTATATGCGGCAAAGTGACTAGATCTATATTAAAATTATCATGCAGATCTTTGAGTAAATTACATGTAACATCAGTCAACTGTTTTGTCGTCTGTCTAATCATTTTAAACTTAACAGTGAACTGTTAATTACGGAAGCGTATTAGTCTCCTTTTTATTATTATTTTTTTTCAAATTGTCGACTTTAATCTTGGAATTATCAACTTTCATCTTGGAAATATCAACATTGATATTGGATTTATCAATATTAAACTTGAAATTCAAGCTTTCATCTTCCGACCCTCATAATTGCGACACTGGTTTTTCCGACTTTCATTAACCTAGTGACACTCTGAATTGAGAGCATCGTGATTTTTGGCTCACTGGACTCTCGCCTCGGCCAAACAGATCACTTCAGTTTGATGTGCTTTACTTTTCTTTTTGTTCGTAATTGCGATTGCAATTATCGATGCACATCATTCTTTTCAGCAATATAATATAATAAATGCATGTACCGCATACATAATATACAAATGGTAGAGAGGGTTACTTCGAATTTGTTTGGTAGGGGTAAGCCATTTTTGACTAAAAAAATGTACCCATTTTTTATATAACGTTCACTACTATTTGGTACCGATATTTATACTTAAATATATACAAAGAATGACCTTTACATGTACTTATATACCTTATTTTAATTTTAAAAAGCATAGATTCAGGGACTTTATATTAATGTAAATATAGTCTCTGATTGATTAATATAACACAATTAGCCATAAATAAAATTTCCAATAACATATTTATAAAAGATATATAGAACATACCCCAAATCATTATAAAGTTAAATAATAATGAAGGAACAATGCATATCAATATAGAATGTCATCAAAAAGTAGTGTAATAAATTATATAATCTCGCAAAATTATGACCCATATTTTGGCATACCGCGTATATCAATTAATAGGAAGTTACAATCCCCTTTTCGTGGATATAAGGCTACGTGGAGCTATAAACAAGACTTAGATACACGTCTTTTTTATTTTACATTTTACAAAACAATTAGCCGCGAAAATAATTATAAGTAGACTAAGTATATATCGAGAAACACAATAAACTTTGTAAAGAAGTAAAATATCAGTCATTGTAAGGATTAAAGTTGATAATTCCAAGATAATTGTTGGAATTTCCAAGATCAAAGTTGGCAATTCCAAGATTAAAGTTGGAATTTCAAAGATTAAAATTGATAATTCCAAGATTAAAGTTGGAAATTCCAATATTAAAGTTGATAATTCCAAGATTAAAGTCGACTATTTGAAAAAAATAAAAAAAGGATGGCCCTAATACGCTTCCGTAAATAATGAACTTAAACAAGCACAAAATCATTTTAAGGATTATATTTAAAAACTCATACTAAAATTTAAAATAAAATAAGTCATTGCTAATTAGAAATTATTATAAATAGTCATTCATTTAATTCAATTGCTAGCTCTTCACTCGGTTTTTGATTAGGAAGTTTTCCTTAGAAGGGTTTGCTTCAAATGAGAACTAAAGTAGGCTGTCATATATGTTTTACTTTGAGCTTATAACGCATTTTGACCCAGGAACTGTCAATCAAGTGAGTGTGGAAAATTAAAGAAATAAAAAAAGCATAAAGTGTAAGACTCAAGGGAATTTATAACTTAATTTATCTCTAATTTTTACTACGAACTACTGAGGCGGATTTATGGGGGGGGGGGGGGGGGGGTACCCCTTATGGCGCTATATAATATATAGTTAATGAATGCATACACATTTACTACTCTTTACGTTGCCTTGTTTTTTTTTTTAAATCCTGGATCCGCATCTTATGTTGCTTGCATCAACGCCATTTTGGTCTCTTGTGGCAATCCTACCACATATTCATGTAATATATGTATGAAAGCTGGGACCGTTACCAGATGGAAGTAAAATAAATGCGATCATGTAAATTATCACTATTATTAATAAATGGTCGTTAATAAAGCAATTGATTATAATAAAATGTAATGCATCTATTATCACTAACCAATTTAAGCTATTGGGAGATCATTAATTTATTGCTTTAAAATAAAGGCAAACCATATATACGTCATAAATATAAGTCGTTTAACGGTCAGCCATCATTAAGGGCTAGTATACATGTTCTTCATGTATCAGGTCGTTAAATATAGAGTCAATACAAGGTCAATTTTAAACAGATTGATGGCATATTAATGTCCATTCACACATATTACAGACATATTATGGGCATTAGCACATTAGGAAAATAACCTAAGGCTTGCTTTGAAGTAGAACGACACGCTTGGTCGGATGTTAATATGCTAGCTCACAAGGTCAAGGTCTACACGTACAATTGCAATATCCTACCCGAACACGTTTTCTGACACAAAGTCAATAAATCTTAAAGTTTGATCTTACTTCTAAATGCCTGAATACCAATGTGAAACAACTCTTTAATTTCACACTGATAGGCACATATAGAATAGTGTGGGATTAACATGTTAGTGGGTGCACAACCTCCATAGACGTCTCTAGGTTTCAGTTTTGTTTGTTGCTGTGTAATTGACGTATACTCCACATTCCTTTTAACCTTATTGTTTTATAATAAGTTGTGTGTCATACATTTATAATTATTGTGCAAACTTAAAGCAAAAAAAAAAACAAAAAAAACAAAAAACAAAAAACAAACAAACAAACAATGCATGTTTAATGAAATACATGTATACGGAAATGTTTGCGCTAGTAATAGTTTCGCTCACTGCGCCCCGCCCTCATTTAAATCCGCTCCCGAAATGTTTACAAAGTAAAGTAACCACCGACAGAATGCTAAAAAAATTGTCTAATAATAAACTGTTCTCGTACAACTTAACAGTCTCCAAATTATTGATTTAAATTGATACAGCATAGCCGGAAATCGCAAAATCAAATCCGCTCACGAAATTTATACCAAAGTAAAGTAACCACCGACAGAATGTCTAATAATTAACTGTTCTCGTACAACTTAACAGTTTCCAAATTATTGAATTAAATTTATACAGCATAGCCGGAAATCGCGAAATCAAAATGGCGCAAATCAGAATCAGTCGGCAAATCTTTGTGTAGAAAACAAATCTTTAGCTCCAACATTGCTTAACATAAATCAATATACAAATTCTACCATATATTTAATTGATTATAATTTTATAATAAACATACATAAAAGCAAGATACCTACACATTTAAAAAATAAATAAAACCAACCAATCAATCAAACATGGTCGACGGTCCACCCTTATTAAAAGTGATAGACTAAGTGTCAAATTTTGTTTTTAGCGGTCTTCTTAGCTAAGAGGAAACATTTGTCATAAGCAGCTGTGCCAAGAGGTCATAATGCGCCTTTATTGTGTACATTGAAATTGTTGCAAAAATAAAATAGCTCTGTAGTAGAAACATGTACGAGAAAATATTTAGGCGCATAAATATTTTTTTGAAATATGAAAGTCCCATAACTCCGAAATGACAAATAAAAAAAATTTCAAAACCGAAAGTGAGTCTATTTTTACCAACCCAAACAGTGTCAAGTTTCAGTAATTTGACACAAGCATACTGAATCTAGTGCATGACATTTAAGAAACGCCTTTTATTTATCTGACGATCAAAGTCCCATAACACTATAAGCCTTATACATCATTGGCTTTCAAATATTCGACTTTAAGCGTTACTGATGAAGGTTAATCCAGAAAAGCGCGTCAGAGGCAAGAAATTTATAACGTGTTGTTTTCATTTTTTTTTCTAGAATGACGTACGTTTTTTTTTTAATCGAACAGTGTGTTATATTCACCAACTCCAACAATTATGTAAAATTTCTAGTGAATGAATCCAAGCACACTCAAGCTATGGTAAAATATGAGAAGAAAAAAACATTACTTAAACCTTGAAAATCAGAAATCAGTCTTCTCATTTAAATATCTTACTAATAAAAAGAACGCAAATAAGTTATTTGTATAGCTGCATGCTGCTAGTAACAATTGACGGACGAGCGAATTATTTTTTATATTTTTGCGGTATCCGTGGTCATATTTATCTGTACGAATTGTTGTTTTTGATAATTTCATTGCCACCAATAACAGGGTCCTCTAGAATCTCTGATTTTTCTCTTTTAAGTTTTTCGTCTTGGATTGCGAATTCTACATATTGGTAGTAGGTTATAAAATTATTAACTAAAATTGGTACTGAAAATCCTATCATTAATAAACCGCACATAGCCGTTAACGATCCAATCACATAGCCCAAAGCAGTCACGGGGTACATGTCACCATAACCAACAGTTGTCATGGTAATGAGTGCCCACCAAAAACTGTGAGGAATGCTGGTAAAAATTTCCTTATCATCTACATAGTAAATCAATGACGAAAATATCAACATTCCAACAAAAAGAAACGCTACCATCAACAAAAGCTCGCGCAAACTCGCTTTTAATGTATACACTAGAATCCACAATCCGGGCACGTGACGAACTAATCGGAAAATGCGCAATATCCGTGTTATCTTTAAAATGGTGATGATCCTGGTGAAAGAAGTGTGAGCTAGATGTTTGCTTATTGAAAACATAATGAGTTGAATATAGTCCGGCAAGAGTGCAAATAGGTCAATAATTCCCATTAATGATTTAACATAAACCAGCCTTTGCAACGAAAGCACAACTCTTAAAATATATTCAATGGTGAAAAACGCCATGCACGAATGATCAATGATGTCTAAAACCGGATTTGGAACTACTACTTCCGTTTTCGTTGTTGAATTCGTTGTTATATTTGTTGTGGCATTGTGCACAAATGAAATAGCATAAACAGTTTCCTTTACCTGAATACTCGGGTGTGTTTCAGCAAGGAATGACAGAATGGAGATCGCTACCACAAGTAGTGAGACCATTCCATAAACCTACAGTGTAAAAATATGAATTAGATACAAGAGTGATGAAATGATATATGTGACTGTAAGCTGAATGCGTGTAGCTATATCAATTTTTTTTGGATGGATAAAATTAGAGTTAAACGTCGAGTGGCAAATAATACATGAATATCAGAAGGAAATAGAATGATATGTATATGAAACTTACCAGGCAACAGATAGACAAGCTGAGTCGGAATTTTTAACGTGCTAGGATAGACATGTAACCCAACCACCCAACCGCAATCAATATTTTGTTTTTGTTTTTTTACTTCTTCATGTCGCGCGCTTATCCCAGAAGAGGTAAATACAAATGTTAAAGTCTTTGTTTGACCAGTCTGGGGATATCTGCCTTAGTTATTGGCTTTACCGCTAAAATGTCAGCCACGTCTAATCGGCTAGGCTAGTTTACAACGTAAAGGTTAGCAGGAAGACATGTCACCCAACCGAAAACAATATGTTTTTTGTTTTTGTTTTTGTTTACTCCTACTTGTCGCGTGTTGAGCGCAGACGAGGTAAATATAAATGATAAAGTCTTTGGTTTGACCAGTCTGGGGATAGCTGCCTGAGTTCTCGTCCTTTCGGCTAAAATGGCAGCCATGTCTGATCGGGATGAGGGCATTTACTCCAATGCATTGTGTTGGGAGATTGCCATTCTCGTTGAGAGGTATTAAGTAATGTTACACTGAGCCGGTATAAAAATGAAACGTCAGAATATAAAACTACTTATTTTCAGGAATTAATCCAAACAAAACAACGAAATATATATTGTTGAATTATATTATTAAAACTATATGTAAAATTCCATTGTGTGTACAATTATCGTGTTAGTTTTAGTTTTTGCTTCGGTATTTGGCAATATATGAGCTGCGTCGAATAGAAATCGACCTTATGCAACTGCACGTATACATGTACATGTACTAGTATAAGACATTGATTGATGTTGGAACATTCAAATATGAAATAAAAGATTAATTTTGGTCTGTTTTGTAGTGTTCTTATATCAACTCGATATTCAAATAATTACAGACTTTACATAGAGATTTTTTAAACCCGAAATAAGTTAACAGATGTATTAATATTCATTTGCATAAGGTCGATTTCTATCCGACGCAGCTCAATCATTTTAATTTAAAAATTATGTATTTTTATATCATCTTCAGTTAAATGTACATACATTGTACTACATAGTATTACATTTTCAAAATTTCTCCGCCAATCAAAATACCATTATGGTTTTATTTAAATCAAACTGAATATTTCTAAAGAAAACAAGTTTCAGGTTCAGCCTCTGCGCAAGAAATAAAGAAAATACGGCTGTAGCTAAACAACATTGTATCAAACAAATGAAACACTAAAAAATAAATTATATCTCCTTTATGATTCAATTATAAAAACTTAGCTTTTTCTTATCATTTTATAAGTAACCTTGAAAGAATAATCATGACACGATGCATAAATATATTTTTGATAACAGCAGGAAGAAAGATTAAAATTGATTTCTTTTAAACGAAGCTTAACTTCCTTCTTCCTTGAATTGATTTGAAATGGCATTCCAACTCCTCCTTTGCTTTAGTAAAAATATCCATTAATTCTTGAAACATCACAGCAACAACGCCTTCATCTATCTAGAGTTATACGTTTGACCATCTATCTAGAGTTATACGTTTGACCATCTATCTAGAGTTATACGTTTGACCATCTATCTAGAGTAATACGTTTGACCATTGCTGACTAATTTATTGACACTAACCTTTGCAGATTTTGACTTCTCTGGATGGTTGAGAATTATGGAGGCTTTCGAGCGGATTCTTTTCCATTTAGACATTTTTCTGTTTGTATGGGTATCGACTGGATAATCAAAGCTTCCATGGCGGTCCTTTTCCAGACGATTTAGGGCTCTCAGTGTAGAGTTATATGCATTGTAGTGAGTATAACAACATCTTTCTATGATGCTGTCCGGGATTCCCCAAAATTCCAATTCAAGTTTTGCTGCTGGACCGCACATGTATGGCGGCATATGAAGCTCTCCTGTACGGAGGTAATTCAGAATAGCCTGAAATAAGATATTATCATGTATGCATGTTTAACATCTAAGCAATCCCAATCGTTATCGTAAGTCGGTAACATCTTTATATGGCAAAATTCAGTTTCAGTTTAATTTTTACATATGTAAAAAAGGGGGAGGAGAAACGAAGGGGTAATAAAAAGGCTAAGTTGAGAATGGACAGACTACACCACTACCACTTATTTACTTTTCACTAAACACTACAAATACCGGTAATACTAAAGATTGGTCGAGTAACAGGCTAGGTACCCCATAAATAATTGGGAGTAATCAAGGTGTAAGTAGTTCCTGCTCAACATGTGGCCTTCGTCACAACGAACACTGCAAGAAAAATCACTCGATGATAAGTAGCATTTGGTGATGTCACGACGGTCTCCTTACTCTAATACGTGCTCACTTTGCCAAAATGTGTTCATTTAAATATGTTTTGGAGTTTAGTGCGACGTCCGTTTTCACTGAACTAGTACACATTTTTGTTTAGGGGCCAGCTGAAGCCCGCCTTCGCGTGCGGGATGTTCTCGCTGTGTTGAAGACTCATTGGTGGCCTTCGGCTGTTTTCTGCTCTTTGGTCGGGTTGTTGTACATGTCTCTTTGACACATTCCCCATTTCCATTCTCACTTTTATACTACATAGTATTACATTTTCAAAAATTTCTCTGCCAATCAAAATACCACTATGGTTTTATTTAAATCAAACTGAATATTTCTAAAGAAAACAAGTTTCTCGTTCAGCCTCCGCGCAAGAAATAAAGAAAATACGGCTGTAGCTAAACAACATTGAGTGACACAAATGAAACACTTAAAAAATAAATTATATCGTGATTCAAATATAAAAACTTAGCTTTTTCTTATCATTTTAAAAGTAACCTTGAAAGAATAATCATGACACGATGCATAAATATATTTTTGATAACAGAAGGAAGAAAGATTAAAATTGATTTCTTGTAAACGAAGCTTAACTTCCTTCTTCCTTCAATCGATTTGAAATGGCATTCAAACTCCTCCTATAAAAATATCCATGACATCAACAGATTCCTATACATGTAAAGTATTTCCAGTAAAGCTGCAACTCAAAAGTTCTTTGCCTTTTTATGTTTGATAGTTAAACATGTTCACTTTATGTTTGATAGTTAAACATGTTCACTTTATGTTAATAGAAAACAAAATCTATATAGTACGATAATGTATTCTATTTTTTTTTTACGAAAGACAGGTGAATGTATGTACAAATGTACAATCAAATTCGATTTAGATAGATAGATGATGTATCTTATTATCGGAAAATGTGAAATCAATTGAGTTTGCGTAGACGCAAATATTATATAATAGGAGGTACCAATCTTCGGAGAAAGATCAAAAACTATTTAACTATCGTCTTGTTTATGCAAGTTGATTTTATTTTCATTAGGGGAGTGATCATTTTAGAACATCTGAAGATATGTTAGAAAAATATAAAACACCTTTACATTTTAAAGTGTGTCAGGTAGTTTTATGGGATAGCATTTTTAATAAATTTTCAGTTAGCAATACTTAGGTTTCAAATTCTCTTGACATCAGTTGTTTCTGAGAGGTCCAGACTTAGATAAAACTATCTTTTTGTAATGAGAGAAATTTGCATTTACCTTATTCTCATATAATTTATAATTAGTGTATATTGCATATAATATAAACAAACAGTTATCAAATATTAATGCATTATTTGAGTACAAAACAGTTTATATGAATTACAAATCTAAAAGTAGAATGAATAACGGGAAAGGGGAGATAAACACTAGTGAGAGTGGACACAATCAACTCTCATTACGACTCAAAATTCGAGAGACGAGAACTTGCCATCCATTTCAGGACTTGAAAACACCAAATATACATGCTAATTAAGGATGAAGACGAATCAACACTTTAAGTCGAACAAAATACAGAGAGAAAAAGAGAATGTCAATTGAGCTTACAAGTTGAATATAATGTCGTGCTTGCTCGAAATAATCTTATTTAAAAATAATTCAAATCAAGTTCAAATTTTTACAATTAAAACTAGATATAATTATGCTCTCATCGTATCGTTCCTTCACTAAAAAGCATTCATTGACGATGTCATATGTTTAAAAAAAAAAATGTATATATTCCGTATTGCCAAACGAACGCCCATTTTAGCAAGGGTTTTACTGCCGGTCGGGGGAAGTCCAGAGATGACCACATTTCACATGCTTTTTGATAGACGGATAATGTTCTGATGACGTCGATGCAATACATATAAACAGAGGTACTTAAATTAGCGTATTTTAGTACAGAAATTCAACCAATTACAAAAAAATTGTCTATTTTATTCCATCTTATGAAAAAGATTTTGGGCTTTCATTTACAAGGGAGTATATCTAAGGTACGCAGTTTTGTTATCTTATAGATCTTGTAGTAAATTTATAATACAATCAAGTTAGGAATAGAACTAGTTTACTAAGCTTAATGACATGTTCCTTTTACTTTCTTTAGCGCATTCTTATAAAAGCTGATTTTCGTAATTTAATTTCACAATTCCTTTATCAAGTGTTGTTTCTTTTTTTGTCACATTTGATTTTTATGCATAATCCTTACAAAATACAAGTATTTTCATTAGCCTGTAGCGTCAACTTGATAAATCAAGCTTGGTGATATATATATTTATATGATATTTTTCACAGCTGCTGCAGCATAAAAAAACATACATTATAAATTATACTAAACAAGTCTTGTTGGTACTAAAATACTGCCTTAGTTATGTACTTGCCAGCAGGACAACAAGACTACTAATAATATATTTTAACTCTCGCTATCAGACAGCTAAATGCATAGAATCTGATCCAATAAATCTTTACAGCATAAATCACACCCTATTACCGGGTTTTTGCAAGGCAGATACAATAGGATCGGTGTTCTTGATTGCTATTAAAAACAATTACTTTAGCTATTGTGTACAGCATATTTGTGTCTGCATTTTCGATTGGCATTGCAATATAATAGAGTTTTCAATAGTGTAGAGCTGATGTTGGTCTGGTTACCTTTTGCATCTGCCGTATCGACAGCCAGTTATAAGGTTTGTAGGTGGACCTCCTAATTATGTTCCTCCAATTAAAGACATTTAAGATCTTTAAATCTTAAATAGTAATTAATTCAAAAACCAAATATTTTAAATGCGGTCGCTGCATTTTTTACCCATGTTTTTTTTAAATTTTTAAATTGATTTAAAAAGTTGCCTGCTAGACCCCGTATGCACCTATAATTTAGGCAGTACGGTCTATAACTATAACAGCCATACAAATATCGCTATATACCATATTCTCTGTAAATAACAACAACAAAAGGACTTGACCAAACAAAACTACTTTGATACACAACGTTTTTAAGTAGTTCAGTTTGATAAATAAAATACTTGACAATCGAGTTGCCGTCACTGTCAATACATTCAATGCATTACCATTTGTCTAACATTGTCTATTACTTTTAAATTGATAAACCAAAACTTATGAATATTTTTCAAAGTTCGTTTACTTCACTATACATACTATTAAATATAAACTGGAGAACAAACAACCACTTTTATTTTTTAATTTTTTATTTCTGAAGATTTATAGGACTGACACGTCGTTTTAGTTTCACTTACTTTGAACATGGCTGGATCCCTGTCGAAGAAATATTCCTTTTTATCAGACCGGAAATGCTTCCGAAGAAATTCTTCATTTGCCAATGGACTGTTAGGTTGACGGTAAAGTGTTGATCTGTACGTTTCGAATTTAACTCCTCCTATGTTAAATATGACAGTCTCTTTCGAGATCCCGATGTTAACAGTGATTTTCCCCTTTTCACTGTCGATTTTTGCCCCAGGAAGGAGGGCTATTAGAGGACTTTGCTTGTCGTCCTTATTCCTTTTACCCATCTTCTTGCCACACTTAGATTGGGAGGATTTTGATTTTGCCGAAACTAAAAAAGACATTGTATTTTAAAAAATTATGACAATAAAAGTAAAATTTTAATATCCCAACTATAAATAATAAAGACAGTGTACCGCAAAATCAACGAGTCATTAATTTTTATACTACCTGATAAGCTGGTATTGCCGCTTTCATAAATTAAAACGAGACAACTGTATACATAAAAATATTATTTTATAAATCTGGTCAAACCTGCTTCAAAAACTGAAAAACCAAACATGAAAATAAATGGTATATATTTTTTTTAAATGTATATATTTCTCGCTGTGATACATCCTCTTGAAATACAACTAGTTGATATCTAAAATTGAACTTACATGTAACCCCTAATTATTTTGTTTTTAAATCGGAAACCAGATTTAAATCAATTATATAAATATGAAATGCATGTGAATTTTTTTGAAGATCTTCTAATTATAAGTCATATACATATATACATGGTTTGATACAATTTGGTCTGTGTTGTAGTTTCTTTATAATTTAAAAAAAAATCTCCAATAAAAACCAAGAATATTTTTTTCAGAAGAACAAAACGAAATATGTCTTTTTTTGAAACGACCCCTCAAACATTATTTGTAGCACGTCTGGTTTAAATTATTGATATGCTTTAAAGTCATATGATCCTTCAGATTTAGCAAAAAGAATATGTTTTATATACATATACTTGAATGTCAAATATAAGAATAAGAAGATGTGGTACGATTGCCACCGAGACAACTCTCCACCAGAGAACAAATGACATAGAAGTTAAATATTATAGGTCACCGTACGGCCTTTAATAAAGAGCAATACGCGTACCGCATAGTCAGCTATAAAAGGCCCAGAAATGACAAATGTAAACCACAATAATTCAAACGAGAAAAACTAACGGCCTATTTATGTACAAAACAATGAATCAAGAACAAATATGATATACAGCTACAAACGACAACTACTGAATTTACTATAAAGCACGTATACATAGACTTTCTTTTAACAGAAACTCCCTTATTTCATCCAAATCCTTTGAAATGTACAGCTTTAATGAATTATTGTCTACTCATACTCCAATTCGCTGACACTTATTTCCGTTTGCAGTCATCTAAACCATGACATCTCTCGTTAGAAATTCGCCAATCAACCAACGCAAGTGCAAAGGAGAAATTGTGATAAGAAAAAAAAAAAACACAAACGCAGAGGAAGATAGCATTAAAAAAATGTAAACCAAAGTATTTAACAACTGTTATAACAAAATTAATTTAAGAAAGGGAACGCATGGAAAATAAATTAGGAAAAAAACGAAATGAAAAAAAAAACATCACTCTATCATCTCACTTATTTTTCACGTGCGTAATGATTCTGTGTTAATTGTTTATCAAACTCGAATGTTTACTAGTAGCAATCAACAATCACTGAATAAAAATACGAGGAATTATAATAGTTTCGTCCTGCATGAAATATTTGCCGTTGGACGTTAAGAAAGCAGCCATCAATCATCATTATTACATGTAGGTCTTAGGTTTTAAAAAGTATTTATATAAGCGATGGTTTTTCGATGTTGACTTTGTTGATCATATTGAAATACTGCTTCGGAATGTCCGTTTTTTTTGGGTGGTGGGGGGATAAAAAACACAATAACACAATTTGAATTTCTTTGTTTCCTGCGAACCAGACTCAAGCTAGCGAACAATAAGCCAGCGAACAATAAGGTGTATCAAGCTAGCGAACAATAAGAAATACGCGCCAAACTGATCATGCCTAAAAACCGAAGACTTGCATTAACATGAAACGTTCTTTGAATTCTGATGACAATCATTTCCAGTAGGAAGACGAAATGCAATACATTTTCACAAAGACTTTTTATTAAAAACTTTATTTTTTTATTTATTTATTTATTTATTCATATATTCAAGACAACATAATTGTTCTTGACCACAGGGCATCTCTTATAGGATTTGTAAAATTCCTTTTAGATTCTCCTCTCCTTTTTTGATTACCTTTGAGTAGAAACGGTTTGTCTTTATAATGATAATAGTGAATAAATAATAAAATTAGACTATACTTAACTAGTGTAAAGATAAAATTAAATCCACATGCTTATATGCTTTTTAAAAGAAAATACTATACCGATTTTGGAACGTAAAGTACAGAAATTTGTAGTCAGAATTATAAGTTGAAATAAAAGCTAATAAATATCCACAGTTTTCGTTAGGAATGATTGAAAACTGGCAATTTATTTATTACATTTTAATAGGAAATGTGTTTTATGTGACAATGACACACGTGACACGATATATGGATATAAAGATTTTAGCTACTTTAACAGACAAAATTTTCAAATCAAAGCTTTTCAAGGAGACATATTTAAAAAAACTCGGGGAACAGACGGAAAAACCGAAATCTGAAGAACAATTTCTTTACACTGATTTAAATTAATAAGAAAAGGATGCAATCACAACAACACGAACTATTTCATTTTAAAATTGGAATTATAACAATGTTATAATCGGGTAAACGGTCCAAAGTTGGGGTAGGTGACCCTACCCCCCTCCTACTTTAATTCATAAAAAAGTCCTTACGGCAAAGCTTTTGTCCACACTAGGTACAAATGATAGGCAGTTGCCTAAGATTACCTAGACCATAAGACCCAGGTTGGTAAAGTTACGGAACTTTTTTGATTGAGGTCCAAAGTTGGGGTAGGGTGACCCAACCCCCTCCCTTCTTTAATTCATAAAAAAGTCCCTACGACAAAGCTTTTGACCACACTAATTACAAACGATAGGCAATTGCCTAAGGTTGCCTTGACCCAAAGACCCAGGTGGGTAAAGTTACGGAACATTTTTAATTGAGGTCCAAAGTTGGGGTAGGGTGACCCAACCCCATCCCTTCTTTAATTCATAAAAAAGTCCCTACGGCAAAGCTTTTGTCCACACTAGGTACAAATGATAGACAATTGCCTAAAATTGCTTGGACCCAAAGACCCAGGTGGGTTAAGTTACGGAACTTTTTTAATTGAGGTCCAAAGTTGGGGTAAGGTGACCCAATCCCTTCTCTTCTTTAATTCATAAAAAGTCCCTACGGCAAAGCTTTTGTCCACAGTAGGTACGAAAACTTACAAATGATAGGCAATTGCCCAAGGTTGCCTCGACCTAAAGACCCAGGTTGGAAAAGTTACGGAACTTTTTTAATTGAGGTCCAAAGTTGGGTTAGGGTGACCCAACCCCCTCCCTTCTTTAATTCATAAAAAAATCCCTACGACAAAGCTTATGTCCACACTAATTACAAACGATAGGCAATTGCCTAAGGTTTCCTGGACCCAAAGACCCAGGTGGGTAAAGTTGCGGAACTTTTTTAATTGAGGTCCAAAGTTTGGGTAAGGTGACCCATCCCTTCCCTTCTTTAATTCATAAAAAATTCCCTACGGCAAAGCTTTTGTCCCCACTAGGTACAAAAATGTACAAATGATAGGCAATTGCACAAGATTGCATGGACCCAAAGACCCAAGTAGTTAAAGTTACGGAACTTTTTTAATTGAGGTCCAAAGTTGGGGTAGGGTGACCCAACCCCATCCCTTCTTTAATTCATAAAAAAGTCCCTACGGCAAAGCTTTTATCCACACTAGGAACAAATGATAGGCAATTGCCGAACTAAGGTTGGCTGGACCCAAAGACCCAGGTGGGTAAAGTTACGGAACTTTTTGAATTGAGGTCCAAAGTTGGGATAGGTTGACCCAACCCCCTCCCTTCTTTAATTCATAAAAAAGTCCCTACGGCAAAGCTTTTGTCCACAGTAGGTACAAATGATAGGCAATTGCCTAAGGTTGCCTGCACACAAAGACCCAGGTAGGTGAAGTTACGGAACTTCTTTTTAATTGAGGTCCAAAGTTGGGTTAGGGTGACCCAACCCCCTCCCTTTTTTAATCATAAAAAAGTCCCTACGGCAAAACTTTTGTCCACACTATGTACAAATGATAGGCAATTGCCTATGGTTACCTGGACCCAAAGATCCAGGTGGGTAAAGTTACGGAATTTTTTGAAATTGAGGTTCAAAGTTTTAATTAAGGGTTTAATAAGGGTTTACTTGAGTAAGTTGTGGCCTGTATTCAATTCAGTAGGTCTGCTCGATGTTCAATTAATTTCCATTCGTTAATTTATTTTTGTCAAAATGAAGTATCACGTTTTTAGTATGTAAGTATTGTAGAGTTCTCCATTCTCAAAATATCGGGAGGTATTACAATTAGATTATTTTGTTTTAAAATAAATCATCATCTTTATACATACCAGTAGTCTTACAATGCACGCATGTGACATGACTTCGAAAAAGTTTTTTTTTTTGCATATACATATATACGCTACTCTCATTTTTTCTTCTTCAAATAACTGTTTGTTTTTTTGTTTTTTTTTGTGATTGAGCTGGGGGAGGCGCTAATAAGACAGCACATTAAACTACATAATAAAATTAAAAACAGACATCTACCACATATGTGGGTGGTTAAATTTTGTTGTTTATTTTAATCTTTCCAACGTCAGCAGGGCTAGTATATACTAATTCACACTTAAAAACAAGTTATTCAAGAGTTTTAACTAGTTTAATAAAAATTTAAAGAGTAAGTTTGTGACTACTAACTTGTTCTGACGGCATGTAAGTGTTGCATGGCATACTTCAGCAAATCATGTAGCGTCCATTGTTTTCTATCAGTTCCGGTTTATCACAATCATATTTTTAGAGAAGAACAAAATATAGAACACTTTTTGTTTATTTGTTAAACGTCCCAAGTCATTTAAAGAATGATATATCTATTCACATGAATAACTTTAAAAGGACACATTATTAAAATTAATGTGATTTGTAAACAGGTAACATTCAATATCTACATTTTTGATACATTTGCATAGAGTCTAAATTACATGTAATCTGAACCTTATCTTTGATTTTAAAGGGAGTGTTTTATAAAACACACATTCTATTGGTTCCCTTTTAGCTCACACAGGATTATAGTATATGTTAATTTTTAGCTATCATGCTGACATGTTAATATAAATGCGATCCATGCATATACTAATATAAAATGATAAAGACAATCTTTTTGTGTGAATACGTACCATATTAAATTAAATTTTGTGAAGGCTTTGATACTGGCAGAAATCTTGGGTTTATTGGGCACTTTTCTCATGTTTTCCATCGCATTCAAATAAAATAAACCCAAAGGATCGATGGCGTAGAAATAATATCACATTGACTTCTCCCGTCCGATAGTAAGACCTATTGTGAGGGGACGTTTATTTGGTTGTATGGGATGCATAAATACGTAGTAACATTCAAATGGAGTTGGCACGCAAGTTGAATCCGATACTTCGTAACCCATAGTATCACACCCTGTCCACGTTACGATATATTGCTTCAAATATTTGAGGACGCAGGTGGCCTGTTCCTCGACTTAATTTCTGCTCCCCTATCCATGATTCGCCATATCTCTCGCCGTTCAAACAAAAAAATGGTCTCGCCCGTTGCAATTCGTCCCGTTTTACCCACTTTGCAGTACCAACATGTTCTAACATGCATTAGATGAGGTCATGCCCGTTCCAATTCATCCCGTTTTATCCACTTTGCAGTACCAACATGTTCTAACATGCATTAGATGAGGTCATGCCCGTTCCAATTCATCCCATTTTACACACTTTGCAGTACCTACATGTTCTAACATGCTTTAGATGAGGTCATTAATTTGCCCCGGTCTTAATTATGCATGAAATACTGTATTTGCCATAGGATGTTAAGGAAACACCGATCAATACATTCCCCCCCCCCCCCCCCCCCCCCCTTGCATTCATTTAATTCTGAGGTGAAAACAGAAAAAGTCTTTAAACTTAGAGGAATTTGAATCGGAAAGTTGATTAAAGAATTCGAAAGTTGATTAAACCTTGAAAACAACTAGAAGAATTTAAATAGGAAAGTCGATAAAAGCTAGAAGAATTAGAAGCGAAAACTGGAGAGAACCTTCAGGAATTTCAATAGGACAGTTAATTAATTATACATAGAATGTGAATATAAAATAGTCTATGAATATATGCTCGATTTAAAAAAAAGTGTGCTCTTAACCATAAAAGTGTGAGAAAATTTTGTTTTAGTTTATAATATTTCACACTATCTTGATCAGTTCCTTTGTGGTATCATCGCAAAGAGATGCATTTTATGACAATTAATTAATGGTGTTACTGCCAAGAGCAATTATGACAAATTCATGTATGCGAACCAACATTGTTTTTCACACAATGGACGCATATGCAAGATTTTACGTGTTGACCCCAACCCCCCCCCCCCCCCCCCCCCCCCCTCCCCAGCAGGTTACCATATATATTGGTACACAATTGTAATACTTGCATAGCGCCCATATTTCATCACTAAAGTACTAGCTGTATGTCCTTACAATCTTTTTCTCAATGTAAAAGTATTTGAATATATTTATAACAAATAAAGGCTACACGTATATATATATATATAAGTTTTTAACACAGACAGACACAAACATCCTTTTTTGCAGATAATTATTCCGGGATTCAGTCTTTTTGTTTTTGATAGGGGGTAGTGGTGGTGAATTGCATGCTTCATTTGATAGTATAATTTAGTGAGAAAAATAGCAATGAGTATAGTCAAGTGCATATAGTGATTTTGTGTCATAAAATAATACACCATATTCCTCTTTTACCAACGCATGCGCGGTGTAATCATAAGCGGTTCCTTTACAGAATCAAATAATGACGTATCTTTCCAATATACCAAGCTCTAGAAAACACCACGTCAAAAATAATATCAACATTTAATAGAAACTTTAAAGTCTTCTGTCAAGACCAAATGTCGGTAAAAAATAATACCGCATCAAAGAATGCAAAGTTATTGCAAGCAAGTATAATAGAATCACTCCCAGTTGTTTTGTCGGTTTTGTGTTTCACAGTATTTAGTTTATTATGTTCTGTTTTGTGAACTTATTTGTCTTTTCTATTCGACTTATGAGTTTTCGGTGTTCCCTTTGTATTTTCCGCCTCTATTTATGAAGTTGATGATTTAGATTACAACCATACATAATACATTTAGTATAGACGGCTGTATGTATATATGAAAGAATATGTAAAGAACCAAAAGAGATATAAAAAAAACATAGTCAAATCATTCTAATGTCAACTTTGCCGGAGAGAGTTTGAACTTTAGTTTCTCAAATAATTACTATATTTGTAAACGGATATTTTCAGAAAGATATGTTAAAGCTTGAAAATTTTAGTCGTACACTCAGCTATCTCTAACAATGGGTTGGAGCATTGATGACTTCACGGTTCTATCTAACTCAGTCATCTCGAAATTTGAGAGTTTGACACTGCGTATTAGTCATGCTAAATTACAATGATTGATTGTTGGTGTTTAGCGCATTTTTTTAGCATATGGAGGCCATCTTATATATACATGGAGGATACCGTAGTACAAGGAGAGAATTGCTGAACGTCAGCAGGAAAAGTGACAATCCTAGTCAATTAAGATCAGAGTCAATCCCACCTCAGTGTTGACAGGATAGTGAATACTGTAGAAAAACAAATTTTTTTCTCTTGATGAAGATGAATTTCATAGTCCACTAGGCCAAAGATGACCTACTTAATTAGGAGGAAATCTTTATGACACTTACTTTAAAAATAAATGTTTGTTATAATTCTTACCTTCTATTCCTCCAGCAGCTAAATGTGCATTGTCTTCCATTCAATCACCTTTGTTTATATTATAATATATGTAATACGCGTATACCCTTTGGCATAGATAAATGAAGATACTACCACGCAAACATATTGAAACCGCTTTAAATATATTTCTTTTCAAAAGTTAAATATTTTGACTTTTTTGCATTTAATGTAAATTTGATGACGAACCTGTATGTACTTCATGTAATGCATAAAGTTGACAAGGAGCACGTGGTGGTATTTTGTCAAACAATTTTGGGTTACGTGGTTACTTTAAAGGTAATTTAATTACCATGTTGTAAATTTGCATTCAATACGTGTTTTTGCGGTATAAAAATTAGATAAAAAAAGAGAGACATTAGGTAAAGTTTAATAAGAAAATAAAAGGAAGTTTTATCTTTATGTTTTGAACTTTTGAAAGAGTGGGTCACAAAAATTGATTTTTCGTCGTTTTATTTTCTCGTATACTATTAAGCATTTTAAATTGGTTTTGCAAGTTATAGAAGCCTTGTAGAAACTTAATGAGGTGGCCTTTTGCAGGACAAAACTTGTATTCCTAGCTTTGGTTTGATCAGCTCTTCGACGTTTGTACTAGGTTTATGGATTTTCAAATATTTTGGTCTCGAGCATCACTGAAGAGACCGTAATTGTAGAATTGCGTATCTGGTGCAGTAGAATTGGTACCGTTTATGATATCATGTCCCTCTTTTCATGAGGCTGTCAAAATTCCTGCCCTCATCTTGACCAATCCATTTTGTAGATCCTACATGTACATATCAAATTTATTGTTTAATCGTTCTAACTATAACTGAAATATTTGCTGCTTGACGGGTTGACAACACCGGTCAATAATAAACAAACAGTTACGTTAATTTTAGTAAGGAAAATTAATGTAAGCTACGCTTATTATTTATTATTAGGCCACAACAATTGGTTCCGACAGTGCAATATTATCATGAGTAGTCAAAGTTGTTAAACATCCCCACAGTAGCACAACAATTGAAGGTATTTGGAAAATTTGCCTTGTCGATTTTTGCAGATTAAATCAAGAAAAAAGGATATTCCTTTTGCTAATTTGAAGCAAACAATTTTTTTTAGATTGACATCTTCTTCTTCTCGAATTTAAGATTAAAACACTTATACCTATAATATATTTCTTTAACCAAATGATTTACCAAATGTTCACAAACAATTTGAATAAAACCAAATTAACATAAATAAAATTCATTCGTAATAGCCTTTGGCGTAGTTTTGAATGCTTTAACCTAAAATGTTAAAAAAAGGAGCTGTGGTACATGTATGATTGCCAAGGAGACAATAACAAACCAGATACTAAAGAACGAAATCGATGTAAACAACTAATGAAAACTTTGCAGCTTTCAACAATGAGCAAACTCATATCTCATAGTAAGCTATACAAGACACCAGCATTCCAAAATATGCACTGGTACTGTCGCAAAATTTGTATAAACCAAAAAGCATACAACTCTTAACATGAACCAATATTCGTATTATTTGAAAAATGGGGAAATCCTTACATAATTCAAAATACATGTAGCAGCTACACAACTTCAATATGTGTATAATACTTCTGTGAAATGTCAGAGATCAGGGTTAAAAACTGTAGGAAGGAGTAAATTTCACAAAATTCACACTATAAGTCTGATTTTACAACTTATGGTTTTCTAACGTAAGAAATCTTATTCCCGATATATTATTTGTTAATTTTGCCCGTTCAATGCCTTCTTAATATGAAATCGTGTCGATTGTAACAACATCTAAACCATACTTAATTTCTATTTTTTATTCTAAGTAGGTGGCAGACGATACCAAAGGGATAAAAAAACACACAAATCAAAGATGGACAAATAGACAAACATCAGTCTACAAAACACTAACTTATTTCAACTGTAAAAGAGGAAAAGCTTTTAAGACAGTTCTCTATCTACACTCCGCGGTATTTTACGAATACGAAAACGAAAAAATTCTGCAATGATAAACAATAAAAAGATCCTTAAATCAAAACTGACAATTCTGCATCAGTAAAGTT